TGACACCCGATCCATATTCTATCCTGGTACCGAAACGTGGCACCCGATCCATATACTATCCTGGTGTCGGAACGTGACACTCCGATCCTCATTCTATTCTGGTGTCGAAATGTGACACCCGATCCATATTCTATCCTGGTACCGGAACGTGGCACCCGATCCATATACTATCCTGGTGTCGGAACGTGACACTCCGATCCTCACATACTATCCTGGTACCGAAACGTGACACCCGATCCCCTAATCTCACTACTTTCATTCATCCAGCCTTCTTTTACACTAAGGCATCATCATTAACAAAGTAGATTAGGGTTTCTCAAGATTTAGGATTCAATAGCCTCATCATGTTTATTTTATCACAATTACATAATCACATTCATGCAAGCATACAATTAAGCATATAGAAGGGTTTACAATACTACCCATACATATCATTCGCTATTAAGAGTTTACTACGAATAGTATAAAAATCATAACCTACCTCCACCGAAGATTAGTGATCAAGCAAGCAAATTCCCCAAAGCTTTGTGTTTTCCTCTTCTCGATCGTTTCTCCCTCTTTTTCTGTTCTTTTCTTTTTCTTATTCAAACCCTCTTTCTTTTACCCTAATTAGCATATAATTAAGTATAAAAGATGGTGAATTAACCCATTAATTAATTCAAGATTATCTCTTTTAACCCCCAAGTAATTTAGACTTATTAACATTAACCCACTAACTTTATAATTAAAGCAGGAATAGTCAAAAACGTCCCTTAAAACATTAAAGAAATCCGACTCAGCCAGGGATTACGCAGCCTGTGACAGACCGTCGTGCCTGCGACGGTCCGTCCTGCTGGGTCGTCGCAGAGTTCAGAGACTAAATCTCTGAGGAAGATGTGTGACGGTCCGTCGTGCCCACGACGGTCCGTCCTGCCATTCCATTACGAAGTTCAGAGAGTCGATTTCAGTACCCAAATTTCAGAATTCTAAGTGTTTTGGAACGAGACCCCCTCGATGGTCCGTCGTGCCCATGACGGTTCGTCGTGGGTTCCGTCGTCTCAGCCTGTTTTTCCAGAAATAAAATCTGTTGCTCAAAACGACTAAACAGGTCGTTACAACAAAAGACAAATGTGTTAATGTCTAAAGGTGATAAATAGTACAAGATATCACACATAGTTGTAAACACACACGGGTTGCTTTATTCAGTGATAAATTGACCCACCAATATTGAGACATGTTTAAATAAACAGGAATTTATCTACTTGACTTTAAAATTAGTGAATCAAATATGTAACTCTAATTTCTTTGGTAGAGCTAAAATTTCTCAAAAAATGGAGACCGAGCCTTGAAAGGCTGCCTACGTATCTTAAGAGGGAAAATTCATGTCCTACGTAGTTCAACACTTCTTTTTGACATGAAAGGAAAAATCCACCTTTTTGTGAGATGGGAGAGTAAGGATTTGAAAATGAAGTTCAAATTTTGTTAGGAAACTAAAGACTCGAATTATATTTGGACGCACGTTTGATAATAACTTGATATTTGTGCTTAGAGGTTCTAAAAATGATTTGAAGAAAAGTAAACTAGAATATCTCCAAATATAGCAACATAATAACACAAACAGTTTTAACACTTTAGCAAATACTGCACAACCTAAACAAATATGTGACATTTTTGTGCCAAGGATAGGCCTACCGATTTGAATGATGTGTACATCATTTGATACATTCCATTGCTCCAAAAACCAAATTTTATACAAACTTTATAAGTAAACCGAATGGGGATACATAGTAGGAAAATAGTTTACAAATAATTAATCTCACGTAGGGGTATAATCTTAAACTAAGTTTCCATATAAGGTCCTTCAATCTTGACTTCTTATCTCTCAATGCCGATGCCTTTGGATGGACTAGTAATTTATAAATCTCTTTCTTCGACTAGAATAAGCCATAATCTACTCCTAACCCCAAGGCACAATGACATTTTAGATGACGTATTCATCCTTTAAAGTTTAACAAACAAATATGATTGTCTGTTTAGGCCATGGGCCATTTTGGACTAAGGTAGTATTTCTAATGGGCCAAACATGCCTTGGGTGTTGAGTCATCTTATGCTAATTCTTAGATTTGGATTTGATTTTGCTTTACTCTAGGTTGACTAGAATTTGTTTAGAAATAAACGGTTACGCGAGTCGAACAAATAACGGGGTGAAGACTAATTAGCGACATTGGGTGACCACAAGCCAACTATTCTTTTATCACTTCCAAAGATTTAGACTTGTGTTTTTTCTGAAGGACAGTCGTGGTAAGTCACGTAACCGCCTTTTTTTCTAATGCAATCTATTTGCCGTTTGGCATAGTCAATGCCATGAGATGCAACATTCATAATACATTAAATAAGACGAATGAACAACTAAACACATGGCCAAACAAGTTAATTTTAAGGTTAGAATTATTACAGTCGCTAGTAGAGTCATTATTCTATTTACATCCCCTATCTTATTAAAATAGGGCGAAACGTCGTGGTGACTAGAAAAAATGTCAATAAGCTTAAATTTAAAGAATTTAAGGGATAAGTGAATTTTAAAAGAGTCTCCACCTATTTTTTGAAAAAAAACTAGGAAACCAGTTAAGTGATCTACAAAACCATTAGATTATAGCTAAGGGTTCAAGTTATTCCGAAGAAAAGATGTTTGACGCCCTTCAAAATACACAATTGTGGATCCCGATTGAATTCTTTTTTTCAAATAGAGAAAATAAAACTATAAACAAGTATAATAGGCATGCAATATACACAAATAATAAAATAAAAATATAATAAAAACGGCCTAAGTTTTCCTACCGCCAATAATATACAAAATAATAAATAAAATTACAATTCGAATAGCTTCTATGGAAAGCAACTCGATGTACCTCTAAAGGCACTTAGTAAAAGAGTTAGTACTAAATAAATATAAATAGAAAATGAATAACTCACATAATAACTTAAAAATAAAAACCCGTCTTATTAACATGGGGAACCTTAGAAATCGACGATAATTTCTTCATCGTCCATTTTAACAAACAAAATAAATGAACTTAAAATAAATTTTCGTCTTTTAATCATTGAGGAGGCCATCAAAACCGACATAATAATTTTCTCATTAACCATATTTAATTTATTTCTCAAACAGAATTATAATAACTTAACAATAATGAAATAAATAATACGTAAATAATTAACTGATGACAAACAGCAAAACAATAATAATAACCAAATATAACAACATAACTGGATTTTAAACTAATATTAATAGAACTTATTGAAGCATTTTAGAAAACATAAGCCAAATAAATAAAAAAATAAATTATCAACAACAACTAAATAAAAACAAAAAGAATGAAGCATCAATTAATAAATAAAGCCAACCACCTATTAAATCAATTAAAACACGATAGAGAAGATGAATAACAATTAAGGATCTTGGCAAAAGTAACAAATCAAAATAAATAATAAATAAGATTGTAAAAATTATATTCCAAAGCAATCAACGAAGAAAACTATACAAACTTTATATAAATACTCATTAAAAGATTACTAGAAAAAGTTAAAATAATAATAAAAAAAATAACTTAAAATTAGTAACTATAAATAAGTAATTGACTATAACAAAATAACCAATAGGCAAAAACAAGCAACAACAAAAATAATAGAATATTGGAACAGTAGCTTGAAATTTACTTTTTCAACAGGTTGTTATGAGAAATATATTTAAATAATAGCAAATAAGAGGATAAAAAAAATCTAGAAAAATTATATGACAACACCTATGACAATAAGTGGTCAAATAGATATCAATAACAAAAAAATAAAGTGCAGATAACTCCTTCAACGGAGAATTAACTAGAAAACAAGTCCGAAAGAGGCAATGAAGAGAAAAGAAAAAGGCTTACCCATTTTAAATGATGTTTGGCCGAAGTCTAATCTTTCCGGTGAAATCTCACTTCAATGGAGTATTAGGACTGGATGTGGTCATTTTTATTCTTCGCTGGAGCTTGTAGCTGGTTGTCGTTGATCCTTAGAACTTCTAGTTGTTGCCGTTGTTTGTTCACAAACTCGCTGATTGTAGTTCACCTGTCAAAAAAACGTTAAGGGGAAGAGGGAAAGAGGTCTAGTGTTATTTAGCTCCGGTACATCGGAGCTTTGAGCTCCTCGCCGGAGCTACTGGTTGCATCGAATACGAAAACATTGGGTTTTAGAGGTGGTTGTTGTCGTTTCTCCGTTCGTCGGAAATGGTGGTGGTTCTGATTCGCATGGAATTGAGGGTTGCCATTGTTTGTAGCGGGTGAGAGGGGAAAATGGGACGATGGGAGCTCGGAGTTCACCATTAATGGAATAACTCGAGTAAAGCTTAAAGGGTGAGCAGAGGTGGTGATTTAAGAGGAGATCTGGTGGGTTTTTAGTTCTATTTTCCTGATGATTTCGGAGTGTGTTTGGCTGGATTGGGTTGTATTCTGGTGGCTGTTTGGTTGTTATTTGGTTGTTGTTTGGAGGGAAACGGAGAGACAATGACGGAGTTTGTTTGTGATGAGCTGCTGGTTGGTTTGGGAGGTCGTTTATGAGGGTTTTGGAGTTGATTCCGGTTGGATTTTGTCGGAAAAAAAAAAGGAGAAAATGATGGGGTTTTGGGTTGCCGGATTTCGGGGTGGTGGCAGTCTAAATTTTTTTGACTGGTGAAATTATTTTGTGGATAAAAATTTGAAAATATCCTAAAATAAATTCAACACGCTATTTTTGACTTAATAAAATCCTAAATAGAAATTGTTATACAATGGGCCTAGGCCATTGACTCAAGATTGAGGTCCAAAAATTGTTAGTCGATGAAATATTTGTGTATAAAATCTTATGCATATTTCAATAAGTTTCTATATTATATAAAATTTCAAAATATATATTAACAAATGTAACAAATAAAATAAATATTAAAAAAGTATTGAACGTAATTGATGACATGTGGAAATGCAATTTTATAATTAACTGATAGAAAATCCTAAATTTTAATAAATAAAGATAGTTATCGATAAACTTATTCATAATTAAATGTAAAAATCCATTTTGAACTATTAAATAAATAAAGTTTAAAAGTTACGAATTTTGAAAATGTTAGGCCAAAATTGAATGTCAACAATTCCCTTTTTGAAGTATCTTGAAGTCTTCGTTAACATTAATTCACAATATAGGTCATAGGAGTTTAACCCCTCATATAACAAGTTCATAACTAATTGTTTTAGGATGAGAAAGTTCTTTCATCACAACCCAACATCATGTGAGAACATTACATCATAGTATAATCCTAAGATGCACATAGGAATTACCTTTAACCCCTCAACTATCATCATCTCACAACCATCATAGTCATAGCATGATCATCCACTCATAACTTCATTATTCATACTTCAATTAACAAACATTACCAAAGATAGTCAACTATACCACAACAAGTTCATGACTTTGAATGTCTTTCGAATGGCCTCCATGAAACCCATTCAAGACTTCATCCCAAACCAATAACCTATCAAATCAATTATCATCATCGTATGATAGTCAATTATACAAGAACATACTCAATTACATCTCCTCTAATCATGAATCAACATAATTCAAGAGTTAGAGTTAAGAGAAGAGGAAAAATCATGGGTACTTAAAGAATTAGATTAAAACCCAAACAATACATGATATAAGGCAGTCCATGAAGTAATAATACAATGAACACCAATATAACAATTGATATACTCATCACATTCAAGCAATTCACAAAACAGGTTCCAAGATTTATGGAATATGGGGAAGATCATGGGTCCAATGGAATTTCAACTAAAAAATAACAATTATCCATCAATATACACTTACACAACCCTTAGTAATCCTAATTTATCATAATTAATCCACAATTTAGATTTTAAAAGAAGACCCATGTGTAGAGAAAAACCTTGATTTTTGGGGGAAAGAAATACCAAGAGTGAAAAAATTCATACCATAATGAAAACTTTAGCCATGAATTTGAGTATAAAACTTCGAGAATTGGTCTTCTTATTCAAGCTTCAATGCTCTTCAATGGAGGTTGGGTAGAGAGAGAAATGAGAGTAATTAGGATTTCAATTTGGAGATTTGATTTGGGTGGATAAAAGTGATGTAAAATTACTTAAAATAAATATACACACATCCCTAAAATACCCAAAACACCCCTCACTTAGTTGGGCCTTTTCCTAAAGTCAAACTTGACTTTTAAACGACGCGACAAAATCTGGGACATGGTTGCGCGTCGCGGAGGCACTACCAAATCTTGTTTTTGGAATTTAATTTAAGGCAAAGAGATTTGTGACAAGACCGCGTCACAAGGAAACTTTTTGGTTTTTGAGTGTAAGGCCCGCGACATGCAAGCACCTCCAAAAAGAGGTTGTTTCCTCGCTGCCTTGGCAGCCTCTTTGCCAACGCTAGGCGCTCATAAGGACCCCTAGGATGGTCCTTGGTGGGGGGGAGGTCTCAACTAGATGTTTTGATCCCTAAAATATTATTTTACCTATTTAAAGTACTTTTAGAAGTTTTACCCTTCATACGACACCCCCAAACCTTCACAAGACCTAAGGACGTCTACTAATTCAATTTCACTAGTTACGGACGACATGGTCGTTTCTTGATGTTTTAGATCTAAAACTTCTAAACAAATTTAACTACATTATTTTAGTTCTAGAGCACCATTTTCAATTATTATTTAATAGGTGAGACTCTATCCTTGGTCATTGAATTTCCGAGGTATAATAGTGAGCTACATGAAATCCGATGTCATATAACTCTACACTGAAAGAAGGTATCCTACTTGCCTAAGGTAGAACTAAATATATAGATATAAGGTGGATACACTAGCTAATACATATGTGTGTGCATAATTATGGGATATGAAGATCGCTTCTACAAACCCGACCTATTGTATTAATGGGAGAGTTTCCATCTCATGAGGGCATATGGTGAAGGCTCGATTTATTGTATCAACGGGAAGCCTCTACCACATTTTCCATGTTTGTTCGGTGCTAAGAATTATTACCCAAACTATACATAATCAATCTTGAATCGCATTTAAATATACTAATGAGTACTTTTGCCCTTCCTTCAATACAACTCATAATATAGCTCTCGACCTTAGAATCATCATATACATGTGAGTAATTCTTTCACATGGCATTCATAGTATTTTTTTCATGAAAGTAGACATTCAATCAACACAACATCATTAACATTATATTAGATATTCATACATAATCATCTGTAAGTAGGTAAGGGAGATTAATCTTTTAACATTATCACAAATCACACAATAGTCATAGTGTTTTGCTTTCTAAGTGAATCATAAGTTCATACATAACTTGCATCACAATGTACAACCCTAGAAATTTAAACCTTATAGGGTCATGAATCAACTCTTACAATTAAACCTAAAATTACTACACTAGGCATGAATAAAATAAGATTAATTAACAAAACTATCATAGACACAATTCATAGTATTCGTCTTGAATCAATAAACCCATCATAATTCATGAAATAGGGGTCTGGAGGAAGCACATGGGTATATGTGGAGTTTTACAATTAAAATCACCATTAAACATCAAATCATTCATAATATAATGCAATTAACATAATGAAATCATTTTCAATAAGAACATGATGCTTCAATATGTGTATCTTTTATATTTTATGATCAACGACACTAACCTATAATTTGAGTGTCTACGGATCGAAGCTAGTAATGTAACCCAACCAAGGGTTGGTTCGTGTCCCAAGGGAATGGTAGTGAAAGTAGTAGTTACTTCGAATTCCAATATAAATAGTGATAGCTCAAGATATTTTCGCGTTAAACAAAAATTAAATTCAATTTGTGACACCGAAGTGTCAAATATCAAGAAAAGAGTTTTTGTCACAAGTAGTAGAATAGCAAAAAAAAAGAGGAGAAAATAAGTATGATAGAGAGTTCTTGGAGTGTGACTGCAATATACGTTGACACAAACTAATGGATACATGCTTTTGATATGAAAATTCGCAAGACAATGGTGACTAGGCTAAGCTTTAGGTGAAAATAAGTTCTCTCTAGGGCAACTTACCCCATATCAAATGGGTTCCTCTCGGACACCCACTCATCTAAACTAACCTGCCTATGCCTTACCCATACCCTGAATATTCGATAGAGGGTGATTTGATATGGGACTAGGGCTCACCCTGTCGGGCTGAACCTCATGTCAACCCATTCCTTAGATCATCACTCTAGTGGTCTTAGTTTCGTGATCTCCCTCTTGGGAAAGCTGAAAACACATTGGGGATTTGTATTTGCAACTACAAATCCATTAAACTAAATCAAAACGACTAGATAAAATCACCATTAAATGCATCTAATATTATCAGCAAGCAAGACCCAACATTGTTATCAACACGTATTTTCTAAATCACGCCCCAAGAATGGGGGGTTCTAGCCACATATCAAGAAATAATCAAATATACTTAAAATGATAAGGAAATCAAGCGGGCATAAGATATTAAACCTTAAAATAACAAAGGAAGGTAAATAGAGAAGACCCACTTTCAAGATTCGAAGAACTTCTTTCTTCAAGCTTCCTCAAAACCCTCTCTAAACTTGAGAGAAAACTTAAGAACAAAGTTTCTAAAATTAAATATTAAGTGTTTATTGTTTTAATCTCTAAAATTCTCCTCTATAAATAATAAAAGAGTTCAATATTTGTAGGCTTCAGATTTAATGCTGGTGGATCCATTGGCATCTTTAATCGTGAATTGTCGAGTGATTTGGCGAAATGCCCTTTCTCTGGTTTGTCACCGTATGTATGCTCTTTAACGTTGGGCGGAATGACTCTGCTTTGCGAAACTATTTGGCGAAGTGACAACTGCTTCTTTTTATCGCCTTTTGATCCACTTCCTTTAGGGATCACTTGCTATAACAAAAGGCGGAAATTTTCTATACGGCGTATCGCCAAGTGTTCTTGGCAATGCACACTTAAATCTTCAGCTCTTTCCTTCCGTTTAGCACCTAAGTATCCATGCTCCTAGAAAATCCCCAAATACCTGAAACTTAGAAGTTTTTATTAGATATTGAGATAAAATACACAATCTAGGACACTATTTGCATTAAAATAAGACCCTAGATGAGTCTAATTTGAGGACTCATCAACACCCCAAACTTAAAATTTTGTTTGTCCTCAAGTAAAACTTAAGTTCAGTAGTTCAAATAGAATGTCTCAAATAGTGCTACACAAGACTTAATCATGAATGAACACAAGAAGAATCAAACTACTCATGCATTAACTCAATTGTATACTCAAAGATTCCACTGTGACACACAATTATAAAAGACTCTTGAGCTCACAATACTTTCTACTAATGCAAGTTCAAGCTCAAAAATATTATCTACATGCCCTCACATAAAGAATGATTCCATATTCACACACGTAGATTTATCAACTTAGGATCAAGAATATGATACAATGCTCACACTCACAAAGAGGAACACAATGCATGTTTTCACTCATAGCTTTGCCCTTATTTTCTAATTGACCTTCGGTTCGATCACTCAAGGTCAAAAAGGTATTTTTAAGGCTTGTAACGGGGCTAAGTGCAAAGGTGTGTTCATTTGGGGTCAGTGACTTTTCTCCAATGAGATGTGATTTCCTTAAGTTATCCCCTATCTTGCTTTCTTAATCCTTAGTCAATTGTTTCTATGTCATCTTTTATTTCCTTTCATGGATTGCTTTGAAACCCGACTTCTTTTCATTTTGTGCTTTTATTTCACGACTTTTTTTTCTTTTTATTTTTCCTTTTATTTTTTTCTCTTTCTTTTTCTTGTTTTATGGAGGGCTTCCAGTTCTTTGCAATACCATGGGTTTGCGAGACTTCTCTTGCACTTAAAAATTGCCTAAATCATGTCAATAGGATACCTTTCGAAATCAATTAGACTAAATGGGCAATTCCAGGTTCATTTATGGCAAGGTTCAAGGTAAGCATATCAAACAAGGCAGTGACACTTAAGTCAAACAAGATGACACACTTTTGCTAGTGTGCAATATTCATTGCAAAAGAATTAATTCGATAATTTAATAATCACAACGAGATGCAAAGAGATCACATACTTCCTATGTAACTTTATTCGTTCTCGTTGTATCCGCACATTCATGTTTGTTCGATCGAGAGCACTTTTCAAGACATCAGTTTAAATTTGTATAAGAACATCCACTTTCCACACAAAAGGTGGCAAAATTTTCAAAAATGAAAATTTTTCAGAAGTGTCAAGATTATTATTATGGAATTAGAACCCCAATAGAGAGCCATAATCTCTAACATTCATGATAGAAAATTTTAAAGCACAATTTAAACAGACAACCCAAACATTTATCATAAAACATAATATTCAACACAACAAAACAAGGTGGGCCTCACCCCCACCACAAATAACACCATTTGTCCTCAAATGTAAATAATGAAAATATCCAAAATTCTAAGCAGGATAAACAAAAAGGGACAAGTGAAAAGGAGATCATGTTTATGCACCTTCTTTATCCATCAGGGTATGAGCGCTCGAAGTGTCTTCCCAAAATAACACAACTGCTCCTGAAGTGTTACTACTTTGAATGTAACACCCCGTAGCCAAAACAGACCAAAAATTAGTTTTTTAGAAAAATCTGCAGGTTCTACCAACAGTGGCATCGACAGACCGTAGCCTAAACCATGGTCCGTCCTGCACAACCGTCGATAGAATCAGAAACTCCCAAAAATTTCAACCTAGAAAAATCGGTTAAGTCTTGGAGACAGACGAACTTACGGTCCGTAGGTCAAATGACGGTCCGTAGTCCGTGACTATCTATCAAAACTCCCTTCAACCACTCTATGACACGAGCTATGGATGACCAGCATGGTTCGTAGGTGGACTTACAGTCCGTAGGTGGAAAATTTGCAGTCAATTAAAGGGAAATGCAGTTGGGTCAAATTAAAATGATCATAACTCTTCGCACAAAATGAATTAGGTCTCCCATGACCTACCCACAGATAGATAATTGAATTATATTTCCATAGCCACCAACCTTGCTAAAATTAGACCTGCGATTAAATAGTTATGCCCATTTTAGTAAAGG